CCAAGCGCACAGTGAAAATGGAAAACGGAATGACGACGTGGCCTGCTTTTATCATCATCATCATCATCGTACAGCGAAATATAGTGAAGCGAACTTCACTGATCGCTGCCAAACTCGCAATGCATTACAGTGAAAGACAGAGTAAGGGAAGTACTTGTGGAACTTCAGATTTAATTCAAAAGTGCTCTCTAACTGATCGGTTTGATATTTTAGAGAATATGGTAGCGAACCGACGCCAGTGGCGTGCTATTTACTATCAAACCGAACTGTTTGGGGGAAATCTGTGTGCACATTTCGACAATGTGCCCCGTGTGTTCACCTTTTCATCCTCCATCAAGACAACTGAACTCCTCGTTTACCTTAAACATTTACAGTTGGTACACATTGTGAGCTTTGAAGGGATCAGCGATCATCGTAACTCGCCGTATGATACAGAGGATCGTGGGAATGAAGAAGCCTATAGATATGCGAATGAAATAGAAAGTGAACGGAAACAGGATACACATCAACTGTTCCATACCGGTAGATGCTGTAATAAAGACGCGCATAATACGACGTTATGAAAGTCGGTCCTTTACACCAGAAAATGGTACACTTGAGACCAACAAAAGAAACAGTCGTAATTAATAAAAAGTGTTACAAACTATGGAGCCGCAAAAAAGATCACTCTTGTGTGTGTGTGCACGTGGGACCAACCGGTTCACATGGAACAGATGAGATATTCGATCGCAAATCATCTGGATAGTTGTGTGTATACATATATATACATATATATATATATATATATATATCAACAGACAACTGAGTCTGACCATGTTGTTACTATAGCGGCATCTTACTTGGAGAATCAAATCCCCGGGACGAAGTGAACCACACCGATCGGCCGGCGAATCAGTTGCAATGTTTGAAATCCAGGTCGGATGAGCCAATGTGCGAGGGAATGAAGTCATTTGGCGTAGATTTTCTGGCATTTGATCTTGTTCGATAGAAGAGGAGGAGGGCACACAAAGAGGATAGCACGAAAAATCACTACGACAATGTATCGAGCGCAGACTCGATCACATAAACCACAATACGGACAGAACAAGATAATTTTTCGTCTCAACTGATGCTCCGCGGATCAATAAACTGGTCGAAAATTTTGAAACCGAGTCTTCTTGAGGTTGATTAATATGAGATCAAGCTCAATCCGAGTCGGTTTACCCCAAGAGAACAAACAGACCGGTGGATGAAAATATCGTCCTACAAACCCTCCCCCAGGCGAGCAGGTAGACGGGTTGAGCAAATTGGGAAACGGATGAAATGTGTTCCCCACACATGAATAACGAACTAAATTTAATTTATCTTAATCATCAACGGATTCACTGGTTCCGTTTGAATCGAGCGATAGGGAGGATGAAGGAATCGATAATACGAGAACTTCATCATACTTAACTGCTATACTATGATAGCGATACACACCTTTGAGTAACAATCAGTGGGACAATTCAGACTGACGGCACACATCACAGGCACCGACAGGATAATCACGAGTGGAAACCAAATGATTACGCAACTTTCTGACAATTAAGTGAATTGTATTACTCGGCGGGACAAATCAGAATGATCTATCGCGAGAAAAGCATAACGGATACACACACCGACAGGTTGTTCGGCGTTCACATTTGTAATTGAATTTAGTCCGTTTGCAGCAACATTACAGATATCGACAGATGCAGTGGAGATGACATAATAGAGCCTCATTTGATCCCCCTCCCTGTCCCTCATCATATGTATGATAGTAGAAAGAGGGGAAAAAACAGTGACGTGTCTAAAAGTGGAGCTACAGCCGGGAAACGAAACCGTCATTAGTTGGCATTCCATGGGAATATGACAATAAATTTATGCATGGTCATTTCGCTGCATCTGTACACGTGCATACTGCAATCAACGTGATTTATAGAGAGATAAGAACTGTGAGAAGAAGACACATTGTGTCTTGTTGTCCGTGATGATTAGCGATGCGATTTTGTCTTCGTCTGACAGTTATTATCTCACTGACTACAATAAATTCATGGTTTTTATTACTAGCATTGTTATTATTTGCTTGTAAAATCGTGGATAAAATCAATGCCAAAACTGAAAATGAAATGTAAAAACATAAACTGGTTTGGCCACACACACACACACACAAAAGACACATGAAAACCATTAAGGACGAATCGCATACGCGAAATCGAGCGCAGAAACAGAATGCGAACTAGAACTCCGATGATTGAGATCCAGCTTGTTTTTCGTCGTTTGAAAAAAACCGGAATAGCGAGTTCACATTCACTGCCCGTTTTATACGCTCGACTACTAAACCGACCAACTCAGTCAGCCCCGTTCCAGGACTGTACAATATGGAAAAGGGAAAAAAACAGTTGTGCATATCAAACCATCGGGGCTACTGTAGTGCTCGCTCTCACTCTAGCTACCACTAAGGGGTGTATAACACACACGCACAAACACACCGAGTAATCCGTGAGAGTATACAACGCGAACTTCTTGTATGCAATCAAATCGTTGCATGTGATTTCACCGGTGAGAAGGCCAAGCTTGTGCACATATGATGAGCATGCAGTTTATTTCGTTCTAGTGTGTGTATGAACGGGCGACCACCAACCGCGAATCGAACAGCTGTTCCAATGAAGAGTGAGAGCCAAAGTAAGATATAACCTCTTGAGAAAATGCTTCACTGGATAGCGGCTAGCAGAATAGACAATGCTGCCGATTGTCACACGTATCGCGCGAGAATACAAAATTTCGTTTGTCTGTCTGTTTATTCATTCCTCTATTCTCCGCAAATTCAACCACTCCGTACAACTAATTTCGCTCGAGGACTGGAATAAACTACGCCATCCTGTAAAAATTAGGTGCCAGAAACGGTGCGTGTCGCGCACACACACACACACACACACACACACAATCATAGACGAATCAGCGCGTAAATGAACCACGAAACAGACAACGTAAATATGTTTCTTTCAGCAGTTTCTCTAGACGTCATTGTCACTAAGCGGGAAATCAATGGATTCGTATCAATTTCCTGAGCAAGCAGTAGCGGATGAGAGAGAGAGAGCTAAGTAGCCATTCGATTTGTGCCAAACCGGTATCGGCAATCGAATTCCACAGAGGACTGGGGCGGAGGACGAAAGTGGCAATGATGGAATACGAGACTATTGGTTAAAAGCATAAGCAACGGGATTAGCGAATGCGGTTGGGTAAAATGCATTGTGCTCTCGTGTCTCGAATAGATGGAACAAGTATTGTCATTTTCGCAAGTTTCTAAAATTATCCTTGCTCCTCTTAATTCATACGGTAAGCGCTTCATTGACGGCATCTGTATAGAATTATCACTAGGCCGATAACGTAACGCTACAATGTTATTAATATATATATATATTCGCTTCGTTTAACTATTAAGTGGAAAGTTGGCATTGGCGTTTGCGAGCTGGATATAATCCAGCCTTAGCGACAAACTTGTGTGATATTGGTGGTAGAAAACGACCCGGGTAGACAGCATTCAAAAGCAGCCAACGTTGGAAATGGCTAGTTTCCAAAGTCAAACAGTAGGATTAAGAACACTAGCATACCCCGCCCAGCCCAGCCCACTCAAAAAAATTAAGTATGTCATCAAAATACTAGACAGAGTTGAATCACAAGTATGCATGTCCCAAGAACGTTTGGTGACTTGTTTTTACCAAGACAAAGCACTTCACAACAATCTACAGAACAAGACAACGCAAATACGAAATTCGCAGTGATTAGATGATTCAACGTCAAGTGTATATTTTCGTTATAAAACACGATCCATTTAGAGTGTACTCGTGAACTTTTGTGTGGCAGTTTTCGTTGCTGCCTTACGGATTACGGGAGTTCAGTAGTTGAGGTCATCAAAACATTATTCACAAGGTAGTGTACTGAAAACCGCCACTATCGTCCATCTCTGCATTTTTTGCATACACTCAGACAGCTTTCATTTGATCCCAAACGTCTATCTAAGGACTAATTATGCAACAGTAAGTTCAATACACAAGAAGCCCAACACATCATAGGATTGAATTGAACGGTCACACAATCCTATTCTACAACCAGCAATCGAAGCACTGGGATCTAGAATAGTGAACTTAATATGGCCCCGATGAGATACGTGTGATAGGGACCAGACGTTATAAGCGATGAATTCTCAAAACACTTAGATCAGAGTACAAAGGAATACGAAACTGACATCTCATTCATGACTTTACTGCGAGCCACAAGCACAGTGCCAGATGGCTTCGCTAACGTTTGGAGCGACAACTGTAACGACCTAGGCAACTTGCCATTCCATGAGTGATCGGCGTGTTCATGCCTCACTGAACCATTCCGTTCACCGTGTGTGCATTTTCCTCTCTTTCAAATTGTCAGTCGAACCCCGCGCCACAGAGAACATCCTACCTGTCGACGGTTCCAGCCCACACCCAGACTCGATTCACTTGCGGTTGTTTGGTGTATTCCTGCAAGGGGGACATTTCATCGCACACACGAGCCAAGCATCTCACACAACACACCTATCCTAATGGTGCCTCATTCCGAGGCCCCAGGGTGTAGACTGTCCAGAACCATAAAGTTACCACATTGAAATCATGTCACCGTAAACGGAGAGTGGCGCATCAAAATTATTCCGAAGTCTGAGAATACTCCATCAGAATGATTACAGTTAGCGTATTCCAAATCTGGATATTGTGTATTATTATGCTTACCAATGGACCCGTTTGGAGTGACTACGTGTGTGTGTATGTT